TCGGGCTCTTTGCATGGTTGTAGATCGATGGTGGTTGTGGGATATGTTAGCTGGAACCCTGGTTCGACTGTGTTCCCAAAGGTTTTGTTCCTTACAGGATCCCGAATTTATAATATATATTATATTCATATATCATACATATATATAACTAACTAGTAGTATATATCACACTACATATATTTCATTAATTTATCCAGAGAAAACCGCATAATACAGTCCCAAGCTGTAGCACCTTATCATAGTAACTATTGTCAGGCGAGCGCATTAGAAACTGCACTGGCCGCAGACGCGGAATCCTGAAACCACACCCCCATGAAGCCTTATGCAGGCCTTGTCGATTAAATGGCTTGTATACACCCTCAGGGTACATATCCGAACTTGGGAGTGCAATATGGTGCAGTGGTAAATATCTTTCACGCCCAATCCCAAGTTTGCAACATCTAAGGCCCTTGTATGTCCCTGCACCTTAGAAAGGAAGACACAGCAAGCCTTCCACTTCGAATGTCGTCGTTGCAATGAATAGAAACCTCGGCAAGAAAATAGATAGACAGATATGTAGATAGATAGATATATAGAGTTTGATAGAATGTACATAGATTCATACATTGAAGGGTATGTCCATGCAGTTACGAATATTCATATTCTATATACACAATAGAATATAATATGTCGTGGATGTATACACCCACCTGCACAGCAATGGCTGAGTAGATTGGAGAATATGCATTTATAAAAAGTGAGACACCTAGATATATACATGTGTATATACATATATATATATATATATATATGTATATATCACATATAGCATGGATATCATGTATATGTACACATGCATATACTACAGATTCCTCACTACATGCACATGACGGTCTACATGCCGGTATACATCCATGTCTAGACACAGGAATGCACGTACGGACATATTGTATTGTAGACCGATCGATAAGTTATAACGTTATATATTAGATATACATATACATGCATGCATTATACAGATAGACTCATCTCTACATCTGTCTACGTAGAAGAAGCATATATGCCATTCCAAATCAACTTGCATCCGAAAATAATCATGCCATGCAACGACATACATGCATGCATATAATTGTCTCTGAATCCCCATAGATCGGACCAATTCTCGAGCATCATTATACCAACAGTGTACATCAAACACACAAAAGCATAACATGATTACAGGTGTAGGGGCCACACACACATGACTGGTATTGTGTCTCTTCGATAAGGATCTTGCTATGCGAAGAAGGACGTTTTGGAGACCCTGCCGACCCGATCAAAGACCGGCTGCTGGCGGCATATCGAGACTTCAAACGCTGGTGCAGTGGTAACCACATCAGGTGCTCGCAACCTCCCTTCACACCGGGCCTCGTATCTCTGTTGAGTGTTCTGTCACGTGCCCTAAACCCCTACCCGCTAATCCTGCTTTGAGAAGAACTTCTTAGCCCCCTTCTCTCATGGCTACTCAGGTATTGAAAAAAAACGGCGATGTCCTGCTCACAGCGAAGGCCTACAACAACCGTGTCATCACAGAGTGGTTGGGGTGCAGGGTTCGAGAAGCTGTGGATGCGAAGAACTGGAAGGACGAGAGGCTTCCTCTCGTCGCATGCGCGCTGCCTCCCGACCTGAATGAATTTCTCGAACATGTTACTTGTTCGGTTTAAGCGGGTAGCTTAAAATGTGTCATGGCTTTTGCAAACGTACCAGTGTCTCGCCTTGTACCGCCTTGTCGATATCGCTGCTGTGTGATCAGTATATGGTCGATCGACATTACGACACGACATGAACTGGACCGACCATGTCTAGTGCAGCTCTGGTTCATTTCTTGGGCTGCGGAGCTTCTGTGAAACAATAGATCTAGTCTGATTCGATTGCTATTTACTATATATATATATGTCATATATACCCTATATATATATGATATATGATATAACGATTTAAATAATATATATATATATATCTTATATATATATATATATATGTATTATAGAACTAGGACGCAGCGCACACAGACACACAGGCATGTGCGTATATATGTATGATCTAGATCTAGGCATGGCCTAGAGCATGCACCGATTTTGTTCAAAGTACATCATACTTTGTACAGCTTTGGCACTCCAGCAATCTTGCAGGTTAAAACAGGCATAGCTGACTAATTTGCATGACGCCCTGGCAAGCTTTAGATAGCAGGCTGTGGTTCTGTTGATTTCAATTCGTTATTTTATGATATATCTGCATACTATCCATCATACATGCTGAGTGTAACTGTGACTGCATATAAGGCCAAGGGAGATTAATATGTGAGGCTTCCATGGATTTTTGCGTTTGTGTCTTTGTGTCACGGGCAGTAACTCAGAAAACCGTTTGGGCATTGTTACGATCTAACCTACATGCATGTATTATTGTTCTGGGTTCTTAACTTATAAAATTCTTCCCCAAGCCCTCAGAAGAATGTAGGAGTTTTTGGGGTTGCTGTGCTTGCGACCCTAACCATGAAACCACCCTGTAAATACTTGAACTGCCAGGGCTCATCCGCTCTTCCCAAGGACGGGCTTGGCAGCAATGATGGGCCAAATGGAACGAGCTGGTCGCTATCTGAATCTTATCTGCATGGTGTTTCCGCGTGCATTCTACTGTGCCGGTGTCTACCTGTGCTTGCAAGTCATTCACATTATCACTTCGTTGGATACAAGCCCGGGCTTCCTGGGCTTGTAACATGCTTCTTCGCTGTGTCGATCGTGGTAAGCCTTTAGAGTCTTGACAGGCTGAATCAACTTCCTACCCTTAGCTAGATTATGCTAGATTAATCGACAATACTCAAATCCTGCACATCCTTCTGGGCAGCACTTGTCGAGACGTTGCATGCTGCGGCTTTCAGGGGTAGTGGCCTAGGCCTCTGGGTTCTTGAGCTACCTAGTAGAGCTACTGTCCTATCATCCAAGGCTAACAAAATAAATTATACTTCCTATTCAAATATGCATGTAGCATAGGCTGTATATATATATATATGTATATATACATTATTTATTTATTTATATATGTCGTAGCTAGATCTATCTATCTCTCTCTCTCTATTATAGTACTCAACTACTTGTAATTCCCACTCCCATCCATGATTGGTCGAGGTCTGAAAATCAAGCTTCGGATATCTACCACAGTGGCAGAAGATTCTTCGACAGCTACGTTCAGCTGACAGCTATCAGCATCAGGCCTGCTGCACAAGAGGAGTTATGCCCGAGGAATTTGTGCAATTTCATGCCTATTAACTAAGGCAAAACATCCCCTCGTACAGCCTTCATCAAGATGGGAGTTGCACGCTTGGTCACAGAACTAGTGCTAGCTGCCTTACACAGTGCACGGAGTTATAGATGCCATACATGCATGCATGTGTTCATGCACACATTACATGTGTATAGTACATCTTATAAATGTCGCGATAAGCATATATATATTGGTATATATATATATATATAGATATCGAGAAGTATATATATATATATATATATATATATACACACTGGATTAAACAAGCATGTGCACATAGCAGCTAATTTCAATAATCCGTGGTACAGCACGGTGTTCACAGAGAATCCTTCCCGATCGCATTGCCAGGCTGCAGAAGCAGGAGTGGCTTCTGCGGCCCAAGCTCCACGTATCCCGGCAGCTATTTCGAGAAGTATATAACGCTGTTAACAAACGATCGAACTGTTCAAAAATATGCTGTTTATTGCACCTGTGTGGGCTGAGAGGTGCTGAGCCATGTGCTGCACGACTGCTATCGGTATCGCAACACGGCTGAAGCATGCCAGTGCGACATGTTTCCAAGATCTGAAGTCCAGTACAGTGTTCTTCACTGATCTATGTACAGTGTTCTCAATGCCCATTTAGATTCGATGTGCTGTAACCCTATTAATTCCCGGCCTAAAGTACATATATATTATCCCGGTTACACCCCCTTTGCTGAGCATCCGCATTCAGTGAGGACAAAATCCAAGATTTACTCACACGTTTATCGATGAAGACGGCATGATGTGGCTGAAACGACTCTTGGTGATCATGAGTGACTCTGATGCTTGTATGGTCCGCTAGATCTCGATCAGCATATGCACATGCACAGTGTGGCCTGTGACATGTTTTATCTGAGGATTGGCCCTGCGATCTACACGCATGCATCGGGGCAGCTTTCTCATTGCGTGCTCCCGTCTGCGGTAACTTGGTTTTGTATGATGTATGTGAGACATGTGTATTCTGGGAAGCGCTTGTGCTGCCACGTGTGATTAGTAATATTTTCTATTTCAGGCTTCGGACGATGCGAATCAGAATCTCGAAGTCCCTCGGAACAACAGTGGCCATGTGACACTAGCTGTCAGCACTGATTCTCCCTATCGAACGATAGATCAAGCAGCTGAGGCTGAACAAAGCCGCGCATCGCCGTTTGCGCACGGAAAGCCATCGAGGTTGAAAAAAGTGTACGAGGTCGTCAAACTGAACAATATACCCCTTGGATGATTTACCTTCCGGCCGGCCCCCCTTGAAACCACCCCGTGAAAGCTGTAACGCCTGTTCCGGGAACGTGCTTTCGTCTAGCGTTCGTTTCGGGAACGGTGGTTCGACATGCAGGGTATAAGTAGGGTAACGATACTTATAACCCCGCTTAGGGGACGTATAACCCTACTTAGAACTACCCCTGAACCTCCATGCAAACTCCCTGAAGAACGCGCTCAAGAGGCTTGTCACATCGGCACGCACTGCCCGAAAGACCATATCCAAAAAGGCCCAAATCCTACAACCTCCCGCATAACCCCAAAGTCGACCCCAAGAGACTCCAATATTCCTTAATTGAGGAATATACCGTAAACCATATTAGGGACCTTACCCTGATTTAAAGTATATATTCCTTACTTTAAGGGATATTGGGGTCTCTGGGCCCTAAGCCCTAAACCCCAAACCCCTAAACCCTGGCCCAACTCCAAAAACCGTGCCTCCAACGCAAGAGGGTCCAGACCTTTGAAGTTCGGCTCGTTCTGGCTGACCTCGGTGGGTGCAGGCTTCGATCTGCAGCGCTTCGTGCAGACTACCGACATCATAGAGTTTCAGGGTCTAGGATATGTAAAAAAAAATATATATATATATATATATATAACCTATTACATATTATATATGTATGTACATGTACATACTCATGTGCGTGTATGTATATATATATATATATATGTATACAGACACCTGAACATACATACCGCTTGAAGTCGGGCCGGGCAGGTTACGAGCCTGTGGTCCTCGCTTGGGGGTTCAGACAGCAAGCCGCGGACACACCCTAAACCCTCCCAAAACCCTAAACCCTGAACCGTGAACCCTAAACCCTGAGCCCTAAACCCCAAAACCCTAAGCCCTAAGCCCTAAACCCTAAACCCTAAGCCCTAAGCCCTAAACCCTAAGCCCTAAACCCTAAACCCTGGAACCTAAACCCTAAACCCAAACCCTGAGGAGCTGACTTTGCACCAAAGCAGCGCCAAGTTGTCAGCCTGTCGACCAAGAGCCGGCATGTCCAGAAAAGAAACCCCAAAGGTCGTACTTAAAGGATCATGGGACTTAGAAACTAAGGTTATTATTAGGGTAACTATACTTGTAACCACCAATAACCCCAATTAAGGTACTTACAACCTTACTTACTAAGTCCCATGATCCTCCATAGACCCTAAACCCTAGACCCTATAGGTGCCTTTATAAGGAACCCTATAGATCCCTTTAAGGATAAGGAACCTTAGTAAGTGATATAGCATGCTAGACGTATAGCAGGATCCCGGAACCATGATATACAGTAGGGTCTCGGATTGAAAGCTATGCGCGCGCCCAAGGACCCTGAAGGATGAACTCGTTCCCTGCCCTAGGATCCTTATGTACTAGCATTATGGAAATAGGTCCCACAAGACCATTCTTATCATGGTTTTGGGGACCTAATTCCATAATGGTAGTGTATAACATGTATACATACATACGTGGACCCTCTTGGTTGGTGCTCTCGGGTTCACTGCAAGGACTTGTGGGGTCTCGGGTACTCGGGATCCAGCCTCAGCGGTTTAGGGGAGTGTTGAGTTGAGAGTTTTGGGGGAGTTTAGGGCTTGCAGGGTCTAGAGTCAAGAGGGTCTAAGGTTGGAGCTCTCGCACGAAGCGAAACACGTGTACTTGTGGAATGTAAGAGCTGGGTATGGAATTAGACCTCGGCGACGGCATCCTGTCGTCCTTCCTGCACAACGGTGCCATATTCCATGTGCACATATGGTAGATTCAGAAAAGGCTGTCCTCAGATTCGTCATTGAAGATAGGTCAGGATCCTGTAACACATTGGCATGACTCTGGAGCACTACTAGAATAATTCTCATAAGGAGGAGGAAGGATCAGGCAACAGGGACTCCTATGATCTAACTACACTCCCCGAAACGTATAAACCCGATGAGCCCCAAGCCCCCAAACCCTGTAAACCCTGTATGAACCCATACTCTAAACCCCTGAACCCCAAAGCCCCTAAACCTTAAACCGCTAACCCCTAAACCCCTACACCCCAAACCTAACTCTCAGTTTAACTCTATAGTAAACCCCACAAGGTTGGAAACCGGATTAAGGACAAATAGTGCTGGGATGCCCTCTACATTACTCTTGAGGATTGAGGCTATGGGGTTTCCAACCTTCGGGCTTCTACTGTAAGTGCCTGAAAGGGCCGGCGGCCCAGCAGCATCTCGAAGATGACGACGCCCAGGGCCTGAAGCGAGGTTGCGGCTTGACGTAGGGTTGGTGATATAAATCCTGTCTTCCTTGAAGGAATCTACAAGGAATCTATAGAAGAATTTCTTTAAGGGGTCTACAGGGTTTTAGGGTTTAGGTTGATGATATAAACCCTGCATTACCTTAATGACGCTCGACTATGGGAATTAGGGTCTATTCCTGGAATAATGCTGGATTTATATCATATCAACCGTAGGGGTCTCAATAATCTCAATAGGACTCCTTTAAGGGGTCATTAAGGCTTCATGGGAGTTACTAGAATATGAGGGTTGTAACCCGAGGGGCTCTATGATATAAGGGTCTCAACCACTAAAATTGGGGGGTATGCGCTATTATAGCTAAACAGGGACTGTGATGAAACTGTGTTGTCCGACCGCTGCATTGTCCTATGGGAAGTGAACGGAGGATGACATGTGCACGCATTTGTGTTTGTTTGTTTGTTTGTTTGTTTGTTCATGTGGAGTTTACTACAGATACACCGCACCATGCAGTGGGAGCAAGCAGCATGTCAGCACCCAGCCCTGCCAGGAATCGTAGATCAGTCAAGATAAGTTTGGGGGTCAAGGTGAGGGCATTATCGCGATTTTGGCATCTGCGGTTTCAGCTGAAGGGCTCAGAGTTGAGGTCATAAACTTTCTATCCTCTCAAAATCCAGATTTCTTCTTCCTGGCCTTGAGTTCCTGATACTATGACTATGTTCACCTTCTATCATGAACGAATATTACTTGTCTACGTAGACAGCGGGGTGTAGAGGACCAATGAAGCAAAAGCCATCCGATTCGGGGATGGGAGTGCCAGAATAAGGCTTCACCCGAACTTCACGAATCCAGAGGCAACAGACACCTTTCCTATAGTCTCCATTGTAGTTCCTGTTTTGGTTAACCACAATATTTGTTATAGGATCCTAACCATAAAACTGGCAGGCCAAAAAAAGGAACTACACTGGCGACTATAGGTTTGACCCGAAACCTATAGCCCTACTTGGAGGGGCAGGGGACTTAGTAAGTAGGTTATAAGTAGAGTTATAAGTACCCTAAATGGAGTTACCCCAATTACAACCCTATTTGTAACCTATAACTAAGTCCCCTGCACTTCCAAGTATGAGCCCTAAAGCAGCCTCCAACAAACCCGGCTCTCATCCCACCAGTTCGCATAGGCGTTGCTTTTTGAGGGTTTCGTGTGTTTGGGGCTCTTGCTATGCATTCCCCTCAAGATCCACTTCATCTTACACCCTGTAAACCCTTAAACCCCTGACCCCTAAACCCTCAACCCTTAAACACTTAAACCCTTATCCCTAAACCCTAAACCCTCAAACCCCTAAACCCTAAATCCTAAACCCTTAAACCCTTAAACCCTTAAACCCTTAAACCCTAAACCCTAAACCCTATAACCCTTAAACCCTAAAAGCCCCCTCAACCCTAAAGCCGAAATCTCCAGGGGCCCCTGCCCAAAGGTCACTCTTCTCCGTGAGATGTCCCTGGCAAAGACGATAAAAGTTGACGGTGTAGGGTTTAGGGTTTGGGGGGTATTTTGGGGGTTCGGGCTCCGGGGGTCGGCTATACGGGAAGAAATAGTCCTTCGGACTTCTTGCTGCCGGCTGTGGATGTGCATGTGGCGTTCTTCGTTCTTGCGCGCCCTTCACGAATGGAAACACTAGACCACCCATGACTGTTGGCACTGTTGAAATTTGGCGTACTGCTCCCCAAGGGTCCCGGGTGCCGCTATGGGGGATAATTACCTTCCCAAGTAAGCATAGTGACTCCTAATATTGATATAGAGACCCTACGCTCTATTCTTTATTACAAACAGGTAACCAAGATCCTTTGGAGATATCAAGATTCGGAAACGGCAACCGAATTGCGGTGATCGGAACCCCAAGCCACCCATTCCTATGTGCGTTGGCAAAACCCAGAGACCTAAACCCTGTAAACCCCAAACCAATACCAACCTCAGGCCTCAAAGCCCTCGGGTGAGAGGTACATCGGCGTCCCGCGGACCTGCGGACATCATTGCCATAGAGGCCCACCGGAGTTCCAAAGTCCTGTTTGTATAACCCTAAATCATGTAAAACCTGCACTGCCATGATTGCCAGGGATTACTTATCGTTCCGACGTTCTTAGCTTTTCTCAATACTACTCTTGTTCGATATGGGAGTTTCCGACCCTAATATAGTACCCTGAATAGTAGGATCCTTTTGGTAAGGACCACCAAGAGAAGGTACCCTAATGTTCGGAAACTCCCATATGGGTAGTTTCCAAAATTATGGTCCCTTTTGGGGTACCCGAAATAATAGGTACCGTATTATAATAAGGAACCAAAAAGGGACCATAATTTTGACAGCCACCCAAAGGTTGGTGGACCACAACACTAAACCCCCGAGCCCGGCCCTAAACTCTAAATTAAACCTAGACTAACACCCCTAAACCCCAACCCGAAGGGTCCTACCGTTGATGATATAAATCCTGCATTACCCATAATAAGGAATATATCATAATTCCCATAGTTTAGGGTCCTTAAAGTAATGCAGGATTTATATCATCAGCCTGAGGTACTGTTGTGGGGGATACTTCCCCAAATCATAATAGCAATTCCTGATAGAGAAACCCTACATTCTACTATATAGACACTTTGGACCGTGGGGGTAAACCACTCCCATACACAACTCCGAAGCCCAGTTACAAGCAGCCCCACATGTGGAGGTTTAGGGTTTAGGGTCTCGGGCTCAGGGCATGAACATCTGGGTATTATAAAGCTTGAAGGGTAGGGTGGGGCATAAATGTCAGGGTTATATGGGAGATTCCGAAAATAGGGGACCCTAATATAGCACCCTAGATAGTAGGATCACTATTATAAGGACCCCAAAATAAGGTACCCCTAATTTTAGGAAACTCCCATATTATATGAAGTTTGACAGATAGGATCCAGAGATGTGCTCCTATGGCATCTCAAGCGTTCGGGCTGAGGGCTTAGGCAAAGAGCTTGAAAACTGTGTGACACAACACAAACACACTCAACGTTCTTACACAATCCGCACAAACACACACACACACACACACACACACACACACACACACACTAAATCCTAAACCCTAAAGCGCCCTGAACACTGTCCTACACCCTGAGGCCCTGAGCCCTTCAAAGCAAAGACAAAACTGGCCTTCAAGGGACCCGCGAGGTGCCTCGCCTTTCAGGATGGAACAGTCATTTAGGGACCCTTAAGGGGGGTACTTGGAGGTTTATGGGTAGTTGTAAGTAGGGCAACTATACTTATAACCCATATTAGGGGACTTATAACCCTACTTATTGCTACCCCGACTCTAGCTCCTTACTTAGGCCTTACTAGGCCATCAGACTCTTATTCGGGGTATGACATAAAAGGCCCCCCTACCCCCACCTCCCCCTTACCCCCTCAAGGGCCTATGAAACGGCAGGATGGCTTTCCTAGGGCAGAAAAAAGCGTAGTTGACATTGTTCTCAGTGTAGTTCCTTTTGGGGCTCCCTGAAAGGATCCTACACATTGAAAATTTGCTGAACCAGAAAAAGAATTACGAGCACAGTGGAGATTGCAGGCAATATAGAGGTGCGAAAAACTAGTGTATAATATCGTTTCCCATCGTGGTCTCTTTGTAGGTAGATCAAAACTTGCACCACTGCGGCCGTTTTGTTTTAGTCGGAGTGGCTGTTTTGCAGCGCTTAGATGGGGTTTATGGTGTTCGGTTCGATGGAAATCGGAAATGCCTCAGCTGTGGGTCTTTCAGGGCTTTTTGGTAGGGTGTTGCGGGGTTCACAGTTCACACGGTTAATGAGAAGAGGCCGAAGATGAGAGAAGGTACAACAGACACAAGTTCTCTGTAGGGTGTTTACGGTAGGGATTACCTTAACCCCAAATAGCCTACTTGTTTAAGGATCATATTAGGAAGTCATAACGAGGAACCCTTTCAAAGTTAGGTTCCTTGTGGCCCGGTAGTAGAGGTTGTTGTAGTGATGGGGATTTGGTTTAAGCTCGCAGTCTTGGTGCTGGATACTCATTGTAGGGTTTGGGCTCCTTGCCGCACGGCCTGGGGTCCCGCTCATTGGGCTTGAATTCCTTCTTGTAGGATTCGGTGTGCTTATACAATGTAAAACATAGGGTTTGGGGTCTGTCTTGCAGGGTTTACGAGTAGCATACATTGAGATTGAGCCACCATTGCCCGCTACTTTGAATATGTTACTTTGAATTGTACGGTGGGGCGAACACAAATTCGGTGCCAGGTCACTCAATCCAGGTTCACATATACTGCAATCACCTTTCCCATAAAGTCGTGGTAATAGTGTATCGGTTTTCCTAAATGTCGAAGGACCCAATCATATTTTGGAGTCTTTGTAAACATACTGATACTGTCCTCAGTACCAGATGACCCCCGCCCTACTTATGAGGTGCGGCTTACCGCCGGGGATTAGCATGCCTGCATCACCCTTGCACGGCATGTGAGGCCAAGTCGAGGGATTGCTATGCTCCGTTACTATGTAGGACACTTCTTCCCTAAACCCTAAATAAACCCTGGACCCGAGAACCCGAAACCCTGAACCTTGCTGAATCCTGAACTTTACAATACATGGAAACTCTCTTAAACTCTAAACGCTGCATCCCTCAAGCCTCACACCCTGGCACTAGCACCGCAAATAGCCCCACTCAGCATCCTGAAAACATATGAGTAGTTGTCAAAATTATGGTCCCTTCTTGGGTATCTTAACTATTAGGTGCCGTATTATAATAAGGACCCAAAAAGGGACCCTAATTTTGACAACCACCCATATGCTCACTGAGCCGAAAAATACTAACCCAAAAATCCTTAAGCGATCTAGAGTTTAGGGTGTAGGGTTTAGGGTTTAGGGCGCCCTCTATCCTGAAGCCGAAACCCTAAACACTAACCCTATACCCTGAAACCCTGAACCCTCAACCCTGAGAGAGTCCCGGCCTCTACAATCTCTGAGATGCCAAAGTCCACCAACACGATGTGTGGAGCTTCATCCCTGGGGTTTATACTGTTACTGTTGATGGTGGTGGATGATATAAATCGCTAGGGTTTCTTTAAAGGGATCTATAAGGGTACCTTTCTTTAAGGGGTTCCTTTTGAGGGATCTATAGGGTTTTAGGGTTAAGGGTCTAGGTTGATGATATAAATCCTGCAATACCTTAAGGGCCCTAAACTCTGGGAATTATGGTATAGTCCTTACTATGGGCAATGCAGGATTTATATCATCAACCGTAGGGGTTATATGGGGTTTAAGGGCTTGGGGGTTTATAGGGTTTAGGGGTGTAGGGTTTAGGGGCAAGTTGGGCAAGTATCAATATGGGAGATACTTGATAATTACCTTCTTGAGCCCAAAACTATATACTGTACTATTACTTGGACCCTTGGGGTTTGGTGTTCAGTTTATATAACCCGACAAAACCTTGAGACCAAACTCCCTCAACCTCTATAGAACCTGATTTAGGCCCTATCGAGTTCAGGCTTAGGGGTTCAAGGTCTAGGGTTTAGGGAGTTCAGGCAGTTGCTAATTTACGGATTTATGGGGTTTGGGGTGTGTTGGGTCAAAATTTGTTGCCTGGCCTTTAGAATTTACGGGGTTTGGGGGAGTTGGTGGGTCCAGGAGTCCATAGGCTCTTTCCGACAAGCCAGTCGCAAAGATTGCTTAAGTAATCGCCAGCAGCTCGGAAAACATTGTGCGACATGTCTCCGTCATGAAATCACTAATGCCGCAACCGAGTTCAACCATGGCCTGCGAGCCCCAAAGAGTTTGAATACGCGCCCACGCTTCGCGGTTGAGCAGACCTGTGATATGCCCCAGTGACTCCGACACCCCCTCTCCGACGAAATAGGGGCGGATGCGTAACATTGCCACCTGAAAAGCTCCTGCGACTTTGCGTTCTCTGCTCGACTGCCTGCAAAAACAGTGACCTGTCAGGATTTGATCACAACCGTCTTTCCGGCTACTGGCAGTCCAGTGTAAGGCTTGCAGCCGCTGCGGCCCTCCGTGAGCGTGTTCGAACCGGTCCTGACTTCTTTGTCCTTCAACAGCTGAACCTGCCATGTACAAGAAAATTCCTCCGTCAAGCGTCCCGCCATACCTATAGTCTCCATGCATTGTAGTTCCTTTTTTGGTTAACCAAAATCTCTATTATAGGATCCTAACCATGAGACGGGTTAACAAAAAAAGGAACTGCAATGGAGACTATAGGTACTGAAGAGGCTGGAGTTCATGCTGGCATACTGCACGTCGGTCGTCAAGTGAGTGGTTGTCAAAATTAGGCTCCCTTTTTGGGTACCCTAAATATTAGGTGCCGTATTATTTGAAGGACCCAAAAGGGGACCCTAATTTTGACAACCACCCAAGTCCGTTTTAGAGTACACCCAAGGTTCCGCAGGCAGCTTTGCCAGAGTCGTTGCTGCCTGCGCTAGCTTTGAGCGCCTGAAGTGGCAATGTACGAGATCGTGCTGTTATCTCATCAAAAGAACTGAAACCTTGATACCCTCGGGAGCTATGTTTTAAGCCGAAAGGGTGTAAAATATAGGGGGGGGGCCTGAATACTTACAGCGGGGTTTTTGGGTATACTGTACTATAGCTATGTAAGGACTCCGATGCGTATACGACCCTTAACCAGACACCCTGTGTGTCTTAGTGTGCTTCTCGATCGGATGGTCCGCAGACGTCTTGGATCAACCCTAGAAGTCCTAAGCCCCAAACCGTATTGGGATCAGAGACTCCAATAGCCCTTAATTCAGGAATACACCTTAAATTATAGTAGGATCCCTAATATGATTTGAAGAATGTTCCTTAATTCAAGGATATTTGTGTCTCTGCGGCACTTAATTATTTGTTTAGGCTTCTATACTAGCGTCCAAGGCCAGGAGTTCTGGTGCTCGGGATGGGATTGGTGCACAAACTGGGCCAGTCATCACCATGAGTACGCAATAATCCAATTTTGCGCAATATATATATATATATATATATATATATATATATATATATATATAATTAACTATCTTTATTCTGGATGTTTCTATTTTTCTTCTTCTTCAACTTCAGGCTATTGCTGCAAGTGCTCTTCGGCTTATATCATGATATTTACCCAAAGGCCCAAAGTAGTTCCTTTTGGGATTACCCCATTGGATTCTTTATATGAGCCCCAAAAAGGAACTACTTTGGGGCCTTAAGGTAGTTAGGTCCAGAGCCCTGGGACCTCTTCGCGTCGGTCGCCCGCAGGAGCATCGCATTTTCGGGCTTCAGGTCGCAGTGGACCACTCCCTGCTCGCTGGGCTTATTTAGGGGTTTGGGGTTTAGCGGCTTAGGGTTCAGGGTTGAGGGGTTTGGGAGTTTAGGAGTTAGGGTTGCCGGGCTTGAGGAAATGATTTCCATAAAAAACACAGGAATTACTGTAGTTTTTTCTAGGTTTTCCACAGTTATTTCTGGAAATATTTCCACAAATGTTTCTGGGAATCCTTCCAGAAATAGCAACGCCGCCGTGACCTTTCTTTCCGTTCTCAGAGGCTCGGGGGTCGCAGGGGGGTAGACCCCCCTGGAGACCGCAAAGACAGAGACATTCCTAGGGATTTCCTCGATTTTTTCCACACATGCTTCTGGAAACATTTCTAGAAATATGTCCACAAATGTTTCTGGAAATGACTTCCACAAAAAAAAGAGGAATACCTAGGGTGTTCGTCGCTTTATCCAGAAATGTTTCTGGAAACATTTCCACAAATATATTTCCACAAATACTTCTGGAAATGATTTCCATCAACATCATTGCAGCCGTCATGTTTCTCTAGATTTTCAGCGGTTCGGGGGTGACGGGGGGGGCAGACCCCCCCCCCTGAAACCGTTGAAACAGGGTTTTCCTGGGGTGCCTGCCATTTAGACAAATAGACAGGTCAAACATTGCAAGTTCATGCGGGAAGGTGTGCTGGGAAGTCTCGTCGCTGCTGCTGCGCGGTTCGCAGCTCTGCCTTGGCTCTATGAGCAGGACACAGGCATGTAGGATGCAAGACAGCAGGTTATGATGCGTCGGAGTCGCCGAGCGCCGTCCGTCCTGCCGCAGCTCCCGCCATGGCGATCTAGCTGCGGTTTTAAGAGCCCAAGCTCCCGACACACTCACAATGCTGCCAGGCTCGGCGACTGCGCAAGACCTCCAGACTCACTTTCCAGCGAGCTCACTTCTTGCTACGGTTTTGCATCCGCGCTGTGTGTTGCGGTGTTTCTAGCCGGCAGGAACCACGGCGCTGCGCACCGGCAGCTCCGGGCCCCAGGTCGCTTCACAATTACTGTGGATTAATCTGGCCGGCAGGTGGCCACGGAGCCGCGCTCCGGCAGCTCCGGGGCCCCTGGGCGCCTGAGACTTCCTAAAGCTTGTCGCGGCCGTTCTCATTTGTTGGCCTTCTTAGCCTTCTTCTTGTGCTGGGGCTGTGCCTCTACCGTCTCCGTGTCCGCGATCATCTTCTGCTTGAGTTCGGCGACCCATCCGGCCACATCCCACTGGACCAGCTCGTTATACGCCTCTGGGTATTCTTGTTGCACGTCGGGGGTCAGCGCGTTGATGCTTTTCACCAAGTCCTTCAAAGCCTGCTTGCCCGAGGTCGGCTGAAAGTTCCACAAATCACTCAGCGCCAAGTCCAACGTCACATAGCTGTCCGAGCGCGCTGGTCGACGCTTCTTGGGTGAGGGCGTGAGATCGATGAGTGCGGGGTGCGAATTGGTCGATGCGGCTGCCTTGGGTGCCGCCCGCAGGCGCTGGTCTTGCACTCGCTCGAGAACTGCCGCTGTGTCAAACTTCTCAATGGTCCGCCCGGTCACCGTCTCCTCCAGCAGTGTTTTGTGTGCGGACTTGCCTTCGTCGCTCTGCAACTGCACGTCCTGCACGGCTTTGGCAAGGTATCCCTCTTGCAGACTCGCCGCCAGAATTAGGCCCCAGTGGGACCCGACGAACATGCCGGCGCACCGGGCGAGGACGTCCGCATGCCGTCCCCAATTCTTGTGAACGGCCTGGCCGAAACGAAGAACTTGGCGGACGGCTTGAGCGACAGCATCTGGAGATCTTTCCACATCCGGATGGTCCTGCCCAGTGGAGCACGGCTACCTAGACCCTCCATATAGGGAAGCTCGACCCCTAGCAGCAGACGCGCGTCGCTGTCCTGGATGTTCAAGATTTTGTTGGCCTCCATGATGTCATACTTCAGACAGAGGTCGCTGTATTCCTTGGCGAACGTGGCGCTGAAGATGCCGGCCTCCGCCCCTTCTTGAAGATTGATCATAGTGCCATGTAAAGAGCCCACCAGCATAGACAGGCCGATCGCCGGCCGGTTAAACAGCTCATGACGCTCACCACGAACAGCCTCCGTTGCGAACAACTTGGCGTCAAACGCCTGTTCCGGCTTGAGGAGTCCGAGGATCCCAGCGTTCGAGGTCCCCTCCTCATTGTAGACGACAGCACCCAAATTATTCGCCAACATTTTTGGGGGTTGCAGATGCATGTCCCAAAGCCGGTCCCCGGCTTTCCAGGCCCAGAGTCCGCGGCTCTCTTCTGCGGCGGAAGGAATGAAGGAGGACGCGGCGGATCGGCGAGCCATGTCTGCAAAGTCCGGAAGGCGGTGGGAGAGGCAAGTAGAAGCCGAAGCTTGAAAGCTTGAAAGCAGGCTGCAACGAGAAGCAAGCGTCTCATGCAGGGTCTTCCAGACCTAGTGCGCACTCTCTACCGGGGGTTTCAGGGGGGTAGACCCCCTCCCTCTTCAAGAGGACAGGAAGCAAGTGCAACGCTCCGCCCTTGGCACAGGCGTCCCAGGCTACATCCTTTTTACGTGCGCGGCCGAAAGTGCTGCGCTGACGGCCGGCCGAGAGCCCGCAGACCGTTTAAAGTCACGGCGCGAGTCACGGCGGTGCAAGCCCAACCGGGAGGTGCAAAAGCTTCATCGAAGCAAATACACAGCTCCGGGGTTTACCCCAAGGGTCCAGAGGACCCAATAATTAGGTACTCGGTTGTAGGATAGTAGTTATGTAGGTTTGGATTTTGGAGAGTATATGGTTATTAGGTACTCGGACCCTTGGGGTTACGGTTTAGGCTTAGGTTTTCTTAAAGGGTTCGGTGTTGTATACTACGGGGTTTAATCCGGTTCCTTCGAACGGCTCCTTAAGCCGGTTACTAAGGGGCCTCCGGGTTTAGGGTTTCAGGGCCTGAGGTTCATGCAGGGCAGTATAAGCTTTCGGGCTTAGCAACAAATCCAAAGCGATGCTGTCAGGTCTTGTAGACGCTGCTGCTGTGTATGGCCTTGTAGGGTTCACAGAATGTGGGGTCCGTGTGTTAATTAATTACCACGTTAGTTGGTCGTCCGGACGCAGTTCCAAGATACGAGTATATATTTGTATAGATAGAAATATGGACGGACAGATGAAGATCAGCGAAAGATACGGCCTTTCTTGCGACTCCTTGCTTTGCAAAGTTAACCCAAAGGCCCAAAAGTAGTTCCTTTTTGGGGCTTCATATATGGAACCCAAGAAGGTACTCCCAAAAAACAAACTACTACGGGGTCTCTGGGAAGGTCCTTGTTGCTCTAGGTCGGATTTTCGGGCTACCAAGGACTATTTAGGGTTCAGGGTTTAGGGGTTTGAGGTTTAGGGGTGTAGGGTTCAGGGTTTCCAGCTCCTCGGGTGGGGGCTTGGCACATAGGTTCAAGGATGTAGGGCTCTGGATTCAGGGTTCATAGGGTTCAGGGCTATAGGTTCAAAGGTGCAGGAGGTTGAGAGTTGAAATGGTTGACTTTGCGCTTGTGAGTGTTTGTGATTTAAGGGCTAACTATTCCAAGGCTTCGGTGCCCCAAAATCCAGAACCCTGAACTCCAAGGCCATAGCAAATTCAAGAACGCCTCAGAACCTTTGCCTCCTACCTGTGGTATCCATTGTAGTTCCTTTTTTGGCTAACCAGATTTATGGTTAGGATCCTATAATAGAGATTTTGGTTAACAGACAAAAGGAACTACAATGGAGACTATAGGTAGAATTCCAGACCCAAGTTTCTACACCCCGGCTAAACTTTGAAACTTCGGAAACTCCAACCCTCATTCAACCAATAAGTACTCTCGAGCTAAACGACAAACGCGAAATCCTCAGAGCCCCAGACCACTCCAAAACCCAATCCCTCAAGTCAAAACCACTGTTCTGTCAAAGCACCCGCAACAAAAAACAGAGCCCTAACCGCAATAACCCCCACGGCCCTAAACTCTAAACCGTTGTAGCCGACCTTCTGATGGATGTACTCCAAGGCCGAGCAGATTTGCTGCGCGGCAGTGCATGCCCAGGGTTCCGCGACTCTCCTGACGTGTAGGGTCTTTACCCAGAGGCCCCAGAGTAGTTCCTTTTGGGGGTTGGTATATAGAATCCTATTAATCCCCAAAAGGAACTACTTTGGGGACTATGGGTAGTTTAAAATGTAGGAGCCTTCATAATGGAGAAAGGTTTTGAGGTATCAGCATCTTGGTAGACTATAAACCCTAAGCCATGTTTATAGTGGAGATTTGAAGCTCTGCGAACTGCAGCCTATGCCTATGCCTTCTGTCATTGAGGGCTGACTCATGGGAAGGCTTGCGACAACGTTTTTTTTTCAAATTTTGAATGTCTGAGGTTTGAGAGTTTCGGACGGCTGTGCAAGTGGTTGAGAATGGCCTGAAAGATCTTTCATTTATACATCGAGCTAGCATCTCCGTCGGGAACTTTATACTTCCTTGTTTGTTTCTTCCGGGTCGTTTGTAGTTGCCTAAGGTCGTAGCGAGTGCTAAAGGCTGTGCCGGACTTTCCCGAGGGATATACAATTCAAACTGAAGACACGCAATACCAAATACAGACCCTTCAACCCTTTAGACTCTACATTCCCAAACCCTTACCCAAGAGGTCCTAAGTATCTACGTATATGGGGCATGCTTTCCCAACCCATCATAACACTTCCTACTCTACAACCTTGCTTTCAACTGTGTAGGTACTTAGAACCCGTTGGGTTGTTACTGGAGTGGCAGGGAGCCTCAACAGCTTTATCAGGGTACTTCCCCAACAACTTAAAAACAGAACAACCGAACTCGTGGTATGTGTTTGACCTTGTGTTTATGTAGATGGCACGATGTGTGTGCATAGATGGCCCGAAGGACCGCCACTACTGCCAATCACGAGAGCTCTTAAGCTGAACCATTAAGCCACTCAGCTCGGAAGCTAGGCATCTTGCAAGTGTACTGCTGAGGATAGCCCCTAAATGCCGACACCCCACAACCCGCCCCGTGTCTTTGTTGGTGTAGGGGTTAGGGTGAAGGCTATAGGGTGTAGGGTCTAGATACGCTGGGTCTTATTGAATTTATGGCTTTGGGTTTCGTTTGCGAAAGTACATACCCTACACCCTCAGACCAGCCCAAAGGCTCCATGTACCCATATAGTAGGTACTTAGGCCTTAAAGTACCCATATAATAACCCCTTCAAGGGCTAAGTACCTACTATATGGGCACATGGAGTCTTAGGCCCTAAACCCTATAGAACCCTTATAGAACCCCTTAAAGGACCCCTTAAAGGAACAGCTAAACCAAGAAAGCCAAAGCCGATCAATGCCCGAAAGCTCCCGAGGCCGAAACCCACCGGGCCCTGAAATCCAAACCTGGCCGGAACCACGCTACCTAAAGGCCCCATACGGTTGATGATATAAATCCTGCATTACCTTAAGGACCCTAAACTATGGGAATTATGGTATATTCCGTTATATTCCTTATTATGGGTAATGCAGGGTTTATATCATCAACCGTAGTAGTTCCTTTTTGGGGTTCACATATAGAATCCTAACAGGTCATCCCAAAAAGGAACTGCTCTGGGGCCTACCTAGAGGCTCATACCCTACCCCTTTTTTTAGGGCGCCTAATTTTTATGATAATGTGGGTGTCGGTTTTGGAATATAGGCCCCTTTAATGCGTCGGCTCCGGGGCTAATTCCGAATCTGACAAAAAAATTGGGGTGAACTAATTAATGCGTTTTTTTTGGCTGGGGTGATTTTTTGGTGGCGGGGCTGTGCTATTTGCTGATGGTCAATCTTAAGGCAGCCACGACCTGAACCCCCACCCAAACCCCCACCCAACCCTAAAACCCTGGCCCTGAAGCCCGAAAATCTCTTGCAGAATTGTTTCGCTTATTGGGGCGTCAGGAATGAAAATCTGTACTACTACTGTACTACTTCTGTACTACTATTCTACTATACCTTGATTATTGGGGGGGGCTGCTAGGGTGAACCGCCGAATCGGGGATTGGACCCTAGCTCAAAAGAGGCCTCTCCAGTACTAAAGTTTGTATAAAAAATTAAGTTTTGGGTCGAATCTGGACAGACCCCCTTTGGAAGGGTTTAAGGCTTAGGGTTCAGGGTTTGTTATAGGGTTTAGGAGTGTAGGATTCTTTAGGGTTTAGGGTTCGGTGTTTAGGGTTTCAGGCGCTGGCTTTATGCTTTGCTTATTGGGGGGAATGTACTCACTGGCTTTATGCTTTGCTTATTGGTACTATTTCTGTACTATTACTGTATTGCTACTGTACTACTGTACTGCTGTGGTACTACTACTGTACTACTAGTGTACTACTATTGTACTACTACTGTACGATTACTGTACTACTATTGTACTACTGTATTGTTATCGTACTACTACTGTACTACTATTGTACTACCACTGTACTACTGTTGTATTACTATTGTACTACTGCACTATTATTGTACTACTACTGTACTACTACTGTACTATTATTGTACTACGGTACTATAATCGTACTACTACTGTACTACTACTGTACTACTATTGTGCTACTATTGTACTACTGTGCTATTATTGTACTACTGCTGTACTACTATTGTACTACCACTGTACTACTGTTGTATTACTATTGTACTACTGCACTATTATTATACTACTACTGTACTACTATTCTACTATACCTTGATTATTGGGGGGGGCTGCTAGGGTGAACCGCCGAATCGGGGATTGGACCCTAGCTCAAAAGAGGTCTCTCCAGTACTAAAGTTTGTATAAAAAATTAAGTTTTGGGTCGAATCTGGACCGACCCCCCTTTGGAAGGGTTTAGGGCTTAGGGTTCAGGGTTTGTTATAGGGTTTAGGAGTGTAGGATTCTTTAGGGTTTAGGGTTCGGGGTTTAAGCTTTCAGGCGCTGGCTTTATGCTTTGCTTATTGGGGGAATGTACTCACTGGCTTTATGCTTTGCTTATTGGTACTATTTCTGTACTATTACTGTATTACTACTGTACTACTGTACTACTGTGGTACTACTACTGTACTACTAGTGTACTACTGTACTACTATCGTACTACTACTGTACGATTACTGTACTACTATTGTACTACTGTACTGTTATCGTACTACTACTGTACTACTATTGTACTACCACTGTACTACTGTTGTATTACTACTGCACTATTATTGTACTACTACTGTACTACTACTGTACTACTATTGTGCTACTATTGTACTACTGTACTATTATTGTACTACTACTGTACTACTATTGTACTACCACTGTACTACTGTTGTATTACTATTGTACTACTGCACTATTATTGTACTACTATTGTACTACTACTGTACTATTATTGTACTACGGTACTATAATCGTACTACTACTGTACTACTACTGTACTACTATTGTGCTACTATTGTACTACTGTACTATTATTGTACTACTGCTGTACTACTGTTGAACTACCACTGTACTACTGTTGTATTACTATTGTACTACTGCACTATTATTATACTACTACTGTACTACTACTGTACTACTATTCTACTATACCTTGATTATTGGGGGGGGCTGCTAGGGTGAACCGCCGAATCGGGGATTGGACCCTAGCTCAAAAGAGGCCTCTCCAGTACTAAAGGTTGTATAAAAAATTAAGTTTTGGGTCGAATCTGGACCGACCCCCCTTTGGAAGGGTTTAGGGCTTAGGGTTCAGGGTTTGTTATAGGGTCTAGGAGTTTAGGATTCGTTAGGGTTTAGGGTTCAGGGTTTAGGGTTTCAGGCGCTGGCCCAGACCCCCCCGACCCCCGACCGCGCAGTCGCGCAGAACCGCAGACCCTGCACCCAAGCCAGCCCCCAAACCCCGGCACCTCCCAATTCCCTGCCACTCAGACCGACCCCAGACCGCTGACCGGCCACCGGTTCCATATTAAATAGGATTTCTTTTTTTTGGTCGGGGGGGGGGGGGGGTACCCCACTATTAAACCGACACCCACATTAACAGATCCTAACCATAAAACTAGGTATCCTAAATTAAACAAGGGGTAGGGTATGACCCTCTAGGTATGGGTAAACCACGAAGCATCCACTTCGGTTTGGGTTGCTCCTGCCCTCCGCACGAGCGGACAACAAGATGTTCGCAAGCGTGCCGCCCTGCTTATAGGGCTCTTTAAAGGGCTCCTTAAAAGAGATCTATACGGGTTCTATAAGAGGAGTCTTAGGGTTACTTAAAGGATCATGGTACTTGGTAACTAAGGTTATTATTGGGGTAATTATACTTACAACTACTTATAACCCCCATTAAGGTACTTATAACCTCTCAAGGCTTGTGGTTCAGGGTTTTGGACTCTGCGTCTATAGCAGTGCGAGGGCTTCATGGGCTTTGGCTTTAGGCTCCACGGCTTCGTGTCTAAGACTGGGTTGTAGTTTCGGGGCCCTTAAAAGTATTTATGACTAGGTACCTGTTACGGAACCATAAGGGAAATTAACAAGTTTCCCAAAATGCCACCTAGTAGAACCTTTAAGTTTCGGCGTTTATAGTTTCGGGCCTGCGGTTAATGGGCCTGAAGCGGTCGAGCAGGGCCTCGGTTTCTTTCAGCCATTCGACGTTGTGACTTGGGAGTTTCCGAGAATAAGGGGTACCTTATTTTGGGGTCCTTATAATAAGGATCCTACTACTTATAGGATACTATATTAGGTTCCCCTATTTCGGAAACTCCCACTTGGGAAGTTCTCTACCCTAAGGCCCGACAGCAGTTCCTTTTTGTGGCTCAGATTTAGAATCATATTTAGAATCCTCTTATTTAAATTTAGAATCCTACAAGGTAAGCCCAAAAAAGGAAGTAACTACTATGGGGGCCTTAGGGTAGACTGGGGGCCCTTTGGGTGTCGTACTATTCCTGGGACAGAAGAAAGGGACTCTGAGTCAGAGAACTACGCAATTGCCTCCGTTGAAGCCCATGCTACGGGCTTGGGGCCCAGACCCCGGGAGAATCTAGAAAGTAGATCCCCTAATTTGGGGCCCTATACTATTAAGGGTACTTTATAGGAACCCCGCATGAAGGGAGCTACTTTTTGGATCCTCCCGGGGGGTCTGGGGACTGAGAACAGTGGGCATTGGGGTTACAAGGGCAAGCACAGGAGCCATAAGCCATGAACTCTGAAAACACCCACATTGGACCTGAACTCTGGAGCCTTGCTTTACAGTAAAAGCCAGAAAATTGGAATATGATTATCCTAAACCCTTTATGGTAAATTATAGGGTATCCTACCCTGAAACCATATTCCAACTTTCTGGAGTTCCCTTTAACAAACTTTGTCGGGATAACCCACCGGACAGCCAGTTAACATTCTCGACCTCCTCGTTCGCTTGGTGGTTTGGGGTTTGTCAGGGTTCTAGAGGACGCTTATGGTACCGCTCTAGAGCCCTGATGGCACCCTTGTGGTACCATTTTCCGAACCCTTCTACTCGCTTCTGCGCCCTTCTATGCGACGCCATTCTGATGTCATTGCACTTCTCGACGTATGCACTGAGACAGTACCCAAAAGGAATCTAACAGCAGTGCAAAAAGTGCGTGCTCAATATAAGTCTAAACTCACACACGGAAACAAAACTCCACAACATCTGCAAAAGGCTCGGCTGGGCCCCTCCTAGCTGCAGACTACGGGTTAAAGCTCAGCCACACAGGTAGAAGAACGATTTGGGCCCCATGCTGGTCCCTGAAACCCAATCCAGTACTCTACCCCCTTCGAACCATAGCAAACAGCATATGGCCAAGATTCTCTTGGGTTTTAATGAGCAAAATAACAAACTAGTTCATAAGGAGACTACCCATTAATAACTCGTACTGTTGATGATACAAATCATGCATTACCTTAAGGACCCTAGATTATGGGAATTATGGTCTATTCCTCATTATAGGTAATGCAGGATTTATATCATCAACCGTATGACCACCCGGCTCCCCCGAACAAGAACTACACATCGGCTCAGGAATTTTATAGGTGCTTTAGGCTTCATGCTCAGAGTTCAGGGCGTTTAATCCTTAGCTTAACATGGCTACGACATCACAACTTTAAACCCGTCTGCTCCCAAACTCTCACTTTCTTTTGCGCCTCTGCCCAGTCCATCACAATGTGGAGAGTGTCTCGCCTTCGCGGCTTTGGGTTTAAGCCTTTGTGGTTTTAGAACTTGGGGTACGTAGCTCTTTACGGCTGTGGGGTGCTTTTAAGTTTAGGGTTTACGGCTTGGGAGGCTTAAGAACTGAGGCTTTGGCGATCTGTGGCTGGTGGGGGTACTTTGCAGTTTAGGGTGTAGGGCTCTTGGCTTTCGCCGTTTAGTGTGCCTATAGGCTCTATTGCGGTACCTTGTTTGGCTAACCAGATTTATGTTACCGGGTCCCAACCGTAAAGTTGGCTAGCCAAAACAAGGAACTACGTACAACGGAGCCTATAGGTAGGGCTGTAGGATTTTGGGACGTGTGTTTTCGGGTCCTGGTGCAAGGAGGAGGCCGAGCTCCAGGGATGGTTCCAGAACGAAACATCGCCGCATGAGGCTTGTGCTTGGAGGATCATGGGACTTAGAATGTAAGGCTATAGGTACCGTAATTGGGGGATATGGGTAATTATAAGTTAGTTACCCGAATACTAACCTTAGTTACTAACTCCCATGATCCTTTAAGTGGTGAAAGGGCGTTCTGTGGCCTGAGGGTTCGGGGTGTGCGTCCTGCGGAGAAATGATTCGTGAGCCTTGAGGGTTTAGAGATTAGGGTCTGAGTCTTGCGAGAAAGATATGGTGGGCTGGGGGTTTGGCGGTTTAGGGTTTAGGGTAGGGGTTTCCCTATAGTCTCCATTGTAGTTCCGTTTTTGGTTAACCAGTTTTATGGTTAGGATCCTATAAAGAAGATTTGGGTTATTCAAAAAAAGAACTACAATGGAGACTGTAGGTATAGGGTTTAGGGATTTTGGGGGTTCAGGGCGGGTATTGTGCGATTTGCGTCGAAGGGTTCGGAGACCCGTAAGGCCCATGCTCTTCTTGTCGCAGTCGTGGCATTCCACTGCCAACACGGCGCCAAACCATATATGCTTCTGCCGGAGGTATGTATGTGTATGTTGTATGTGTATATATGTATATATGTATCAAAATGTATTCTATCCCTCAGGGTCCAAGAACCTAAATAGTAGGGCTTCAGGATACCTGAAACCCTACTAGTTGGGTCCTTCGGCCCTAGGGTATGTATACACATGCACACATAAGCACAAAACAAAACATCATGCAACCACCTGAACAACTAGAGTAATTTGCGGGGCTTTGCAACAATGAACAGGTGGGAGTCCGAAGGAGAAACCCAAGCGACTGCACCTCCAGGCCTCGATATCACAGGTCCTGATCCTGACTTCGTGATATTCTTTAGTGATGGGAGGCCAAAAGGGGGGTTTAAGATTCTTGGGGTTGGGATTCCTTAATATGAAGCCTATTATGGGAACCCTAACCCCTACTAAACCCCCATAGGCTAAAACTCCTTTTGGCCTCCGGCAAACAGAAGACAATTAATTACTGAGGCTTCGAGGTTGGGCTGACACCTGGGACCTTTGACACAAGATAAACCCTGCCTAGAACCCTGAAGCCCTACCCCCAAGGCCCTAAGCCCCAAAGCACCAAAGCCCTGAGCCGTAAACCGCTAACCCTACTTGGAGGATCATGGGACTTAGTAAGTAAGGTTATAAGTACCTGAATTGGGGTTATAAGCAGTTATAAGTGTAGTTACCCCAATAATAACCTCAGTTACTAAGTCCCATGATCCTTTAAGTAACTCAAAAGCCCTCAGACCCATCGGAACTTCGCCTCTCGAAAGCCTCAAAGATGCGAACCACATGTGGATGGTCCAGGCTCTTCAGGACGTTGACCTGTCGGAACGGTAAACGCCCAGAATACTCTGGACCCTACAATGCTAGCATGCTAAATGCTGGCTTATGACAATAAATCGTAGTCGTATTCCCTTGCCGTCCCCAGGATGACTCGAATTCAGACGGCCATATTGGAGTCGAGGTTACGAAATAAAGAAGGCACCCTGACTGTGAAGTCTTCGGAGTTTCTAAGGTCAGTGCTATTGCGGGATTTGGGGTTAATTATAAATACCTATAGTCACCATTGTAGTTCCTTTTTTTGGTTATTTTATGGTTAGGATCCTATAATAGACTTTTTTGGTTTACCAAAACAAGGAACTACAATGGAGACTACGGGTAAACTTTAAACCCGAAACCCCAAACCCTAAACCCTAACCCCTAACCTCAAACCCCAAGCCTCAGGTACTATGTTTGCGGGATTTGAGGTTTGTTATAGGTACAGTACTTGGAGGCCCTTTTGACTTAGTAAGTAGGGTTAGTAAGGTGGGTTATGGGGATTATAATAGGGTTTCTAGGGGATACTAAGTAGACTTACTAAGTCAACAGGGCCTCCAAGTAAGGTTATTCAGGGACAGAGGTGCTCAAGAAGATCGGTCCCGAGAGGCTCCGTAGCCCGAGTTCTGGCAGGCAACACCATTTGTAGGAGCTACCCCTAAGGGTCCATGCACCCAAATAGGATCCTTTTAGGGTTACCATAAGGGCTCCAAAAGAGTATAAGGGTTTAGGGGTTAAGGGTCCATGTACCCAAAATAGCATATACCATGGGCCCAATGTACCTATATAGGGAGTACTTTAAGGCCAATGTATATACTATATGAGTACATGGACCCTTAGGGTACTCTAACCGCCAAAACACCCGAAGGGTCTAAGCACCAGGGCCCAAATGTCTACAAAACTGGTGACGTACTTGCACCCAATTCCTACACAAAACCCTAAGCCCTAAAACTTTCGGGACACTGCTGCAAGCCCCTTTTGCGGCAAACGTGCAGGCGGAGGAGTTTGGAGGCGAGTTCTGCATTTCGGGTCGCCGGCTGCCAGCTTTCTTTTTGCAACCCTGGTTCCTCCTGGCTTCCTTCTCGGGCTCCTTGAGAGGATTCTTTCAAGGGTTCTGGTTCAGGGCTTTGGGTTAAGGCTTTAGGGTTATTTGGGGTTTAGGGTTCCTTTGCGGGGTCTGCTTGAAAACTAGGGTGCCTCTAGGGGAGTTGGTGTGGTATTCACTACACCCGAAACCCCAACACCGTAGGCAGTACACGCTTTTCCTGGGATTTGAAGGGATTGAGCACTGAGGGTTGAACGAGTCGAGTCCGGTACCTACATGCGGTGTGCATGCACCATACCCGGAAACCATCCATGCAACCATCCCCGCGTCCATTCATGCATGCACGCATGCATAGATCCATACATGCATACATGCATCATGCACAAATGCTTACATGCATACATGCACACCTAACACGTTACATACATATATATATATATATATATGCACACACACACACACGGGCTACAGACCTTATTAGCCCTCATTTCAGAGATGCATTTTTGCCTCACCTTAGAGAGTTCAAGGTCTGGACTTCAGGGTTTTGCATGTACTATGTTACCTGATGCTGACCATGGTACTTAGCAGAACGCTGTAAAGCACGGTAGAGCCTCAGCCATGACCTCTTAGAGTCGTAGAGCTTCTATGTGAAGCCAAAAAAACAAATTAGTATGTTCTCGGTTTTTGAGGCTGGACCAAGATGACCCGAGACGCCTGTCGCGAAGAAAGTGATCCCTATGATCAAGCCATCAGGCAGGCACGCACGTGCGCACGCCACAGGGACGGCATGCTGTCTGAATGCTCCCAGACTGTTCGTCTGCTTGCCCTCGGCATCTCATGTGCAAACTGTTGCCATTCAACGAAGAAGTGCTATCATGGGCTTCATCGCACAAATTCATCGAGCAGGCCGGAAGAAGCTTTTGGGAGCAATGAGCCTGGCTACTGAAGCACCAGGCTCTGCAGAAGGGAAAACTGCACAGCTCGTCCAGCGGCTCCTGATCGCTCTTGAACAAGGAACCATGTGCCTTTAACCATCAACAAGTAATCAGAACTGAGAACGCTCGCTGCCGCATGTGGCACTAAGCCTACATACCGTGATACTGCAATCAAAAGACTTGTGTGGCGACCGAAAAGACGTGAAGAATTGCTGCTGCTGTTTCGCAGCCAAGCAAGAGGAATCTCTCACAGCGACGTGAGTTGCCCCTGTTCAAATGGCAAAGTGCCTGAGGTACGGCATTGAGTACACGGCCAGTTGACACTCAGCCAAAACCGTACACACCATGTGCACAGTGTTCGCATGGCCCAGTACCCTGAACCCTGTACCCTGAACCCTGAGACCGGACTTCCTGCACAGAAGATACCACGGCACAGCATGACACCGGGTTCCAAGCATGAGCGTAGGCTTGACTTGAGGTCCCAAAGGGTACTAAGTACCTATATGGTGGGATCCTTTCTCACACCACAAACGAGGCGTGAGGCGGAGTTTCAAAAATCAGTATTCAGACTCGGGCTTTGAAGGCGTTGGTCTTGCAGTCGTGATTTACGATATACTGGGGAGCGATATGGTCCGGTAGTGTTCAGGCGCTGGGCCCAATCGTACGCTTCTGATGCCTCAGGTAAAGGAGATGGCGGACCCTGATGATCATACTAAATAATAGGCTTCTTGTCATAACCAACCCCACGTCAGGCGTCCCTTAGCCGAGAAACCTCTGCATTGAGACTCACATTGAAGGCCGCCTGTACTCCACCTACCTTCATCCCAGCCCCTCGTTCACCACCCAAAGCTTGAACGACTAGCCGTGAACGATTCGCCACCCAAGGACCCTAAATATTAAACCCTAAAGGTCCCGCAGGCAATATCCAGCCAGGTTGCGTTGCTGTCGTCGCAGCAATTCGGGTCGCCTGTGGGGTCAGCACACGGGCAGATTCGAGCTTCGGAGGTTTCGCGCGTACGTCTCTGAGCTACGAACGTGCTTTCCTAACAAGATCATCCTCCTTCCCCAAACAGACTTTAAACGGTCTTGTCCCAGACTGGTCCCGCAGCTTGTTTTACATAATCTGTATATATATACACACATACATACATACACAAATGAAAAATCTAACTATCTACGTCTACGCAGACATATAGGATTGTATTTATAGTTGGAACGTGTGTGTATATATCTATATATATATGCCATATATAAGCATACACATACATACATACATACATACATGCATAAATCAGAAACGTACATGTACATGATTTAGCGATTAGATGTGTATATATATATATATACCTATCTATCTACCTAGCTGCCTATCTATCTATCTATCTATCTATCTGCATTACGAATTTGCTTTCATGTGTGTGTAGGTGTGTAGGTAAATATGATTTATTTGACCTAGTTACGTATTTCTTTGATCGTGGGCCCAGCACTTGGGTGAGTCTTGCAATACAAGAGACACCAAGTATATCAGGCAACCCTGGGAAATAATCTTGCAACGTTTTCCTAGAAGCTCAAGCCCCCAAACCGGAGACTCCAAACCCTAAACCCCTGGAATGTGGCTTGAGATTGCTTTTATTTGTCTGGGCAATATCGGCTGTGGATTTTTGTGGCTTTGTCCTCGTTGCTGAGTTCCCGAGCCTACCAGGCCTAACAAGAGGGAGAAACTATCCACCTATATACCTATGTCTACCTACCTACAGCCAGCTAGCTGTCTACCCATCTACCTATCGATGCCTTTCTATCTGTCGATCAAACTGTCGATATTAGCATATTTCTCCATGTTCTGCTTCCTTCACACGCACTACATGCATGCGATGCTGGACACCGAGACTTGCTGCCTGGCCTGCTTAGAGCCTGGCGGCGGGCTCCAGGCCCTGGTAGGTCTTGTGCGTAAGGTTGTCGATGGGCAGCGGCACGATGTGGTCGGCCAGGTTGGTGGTGATCACGTGCTTCTCCGTGATGCTGGGGATGTTCGGGGTGCCGGCCAAGCGCATGACCATCTGCAGTTCATCCTGGAGCATGTGGACCATGCGGACGATGCCGTTCTGGCCGTAGGAGGCAAGGGAGTACAACACGGGCCTGCCGACACCCACAGCCTGTGCTCCCAAAGCAACCGCCTTGAAGACATCGCCACCACGGCGCACACCACCATCGATGAAGACGGCGAAGTTCTCCTTGGTGGCACCCTCTGCCTTGACGGCCTCCATGACCTCCGGCAAGACTTCGATGCCCGGGCGGCAAGTGTCCAGCTGACGGCCACCGTGGTTGGAGAGCACGCACCCTGAAAGGCCGGCCTTGTAAGCCATGACGGCGTCCTCGGCGCACTGCACGCCCTTCAGGAGAACCTTCATCTTGGTGATGCTCTTGAGCCACGGCACGTCCTCCCAGTTGAGGCCGGGGTCAATGTAGCTGCTGATGGCACGGGTGGCGCCCTGGGAACGATCAACGGCTCCGTCATCCTCGTCGTCGCCCTGCACATCGGAACCCTGCTGGGTGAACTTGTTGCGCATGTCCTTCTCACGTCGGCCAAGCTGAGGCGCATCCACGGTGACGAAAAGAGCCTGCACTCCCGCTTTCTCCAGCTTGGCCACGTACTCCTCGCTGCGGGATCGCTCCGGGTTCACGTAGAGCTGGCTGAAGACGACCTGGTCCGGCGTACGCGCCTCCAGCATCTCGTCCAGGGTGTAGGAGCTCAGCGTGGGCAGCATGTACGGCACGCCCGCCTTCTTGGCGGCCTGGCAGCAAAGCGCGGCACATCCAAGCTTTTTTTCCAAAGGACACTCCGTCCAATCGTCTCAGCCCTTAAATTCGCCCTCGGAAACCCTTCAAAAACCTTCAGACCTGAAGCTTGAGTCTCAGCTAAACAAGACAAGCTGCTCTTCAGAAGGTCGGAAAAGTCGGACGATCTTCTACAGCGCAGCCCGATTTCAAGCTAGGTCACAACCCAAAACACATGTAAAGCCAGTACG